GCCATCCACTTGGTGAGTGCGGCGACACCGCGCTCTCAGCACATACACCACACTCCTCACCCCTTGTCGCCCGATCTACCGGGGCACCTCTCTCCACCGCATGCTGTAGCCACTCCTCACCACTTACTACTGGTTGAGTTTAGGAGCTCACATCAGGCGGAGAACTGAGAGACGACAACCGCGGCCGCCTCCGCGGATGGCGCAAACCTCCGCGTCCCCACTGGGCACCCCTGGATAGGCCCCAGTCCCCCCCAGTTGGAACTCATCGCCTGCCTCGGCAGGGGAGGGCTCCTCGGGTGGGACTGGGGCCCATCCCAGGGAGTGCCCTACGAGAGGTCTGGGCAACCCTTGCGCCATCCACCTTGGTGAGCGCGGCTACGCCGCACTCTTCCCGCTTGTGGCACACCGCCACGCCTCAACCCTGCTTACCCATTCATATCGCCTCCCGCCGTTTCGCCACCACGTGCCCTCCTCCATCTCCCTCCTCGAGGTCGATGGGATCCTTCTTCCCCTCCCCTTCCTTTCTCCTTGATATGGTGTCTACCTTTCTGTTATCTTTATCCCACGACCGGCGACACCAAGGGCGACCGCCCGTGGAGTGGCCTGGCTCACTAGGCAGCGATAATATTCGCCAGGCTATGAGTTTGATCATTCCCCCGAGGGCTAAGCATCCATCGGGGGGGATGGCTAAGCCAGGACGACATTTCTGCCACCAGTGGGTCAGCAGGTCAGCAGGAGGGGGGACGAGGAGGAGGATCGACCGTAGCTGAGGCGACCCAGTTCGCACGCACCGTCTGCCGATAAAATGTCAGTAGCGTGCAGGGCTGCGGCGAAGGCGGCTCGATGTTGGCTGGGTGTCAGCTGGTCCCCATGGGTCACCGCATCTTCCGCCTTCTGGTAGGTATGGGAAAAAACACGAGGAGGATGGTGAGGTCAAATGGAAAGGAGGAGAATAATGGAGCGCCCTCAACTCCACATGCCCCCCGGCATTGCGGGAAAATCCGGACGGGTTGTTTTTCATCATCTCGAACCCTCCCAGGCTGCTCCCGGGCCCCAGGGCAGCCATGAAACGGCACAGGCGAGAGTTCCTGAGTACACGCTGGATAGAAAGCACTAAATACGTCGGAAGTGGGGGTCTTCCCTGCCCCCTCCCGCTGCCCTCTGTCCTTCTCCTTCCATTCCGCTCCCCTTGCCCCATCCTCCTCGCCTCCCCGCCCAACTCCCCTCCACTCCCGTTTCCTCTTCCTTTAAGCTCCCTGGTCACATTCAAGCGAATCGTCAACCGCCTAAGATTCGTCATAAACACCACCACCTCCTCCTCCTCCTCCTCCTCCTCCTCCTCCTCCTCCTCCTCCTCATTCTCATCATCATCATCATCACCACCACCACCATCATCATCATCTGCATCATCAGCATCATCGCCATCGTCATCATCATGACAACCAGCAGCAGCAGCATCATGAATCATCATGATGCAACACCAACAGCATCACCATCATAGCCATTATCATCATCACCATCAACAACAGCATCATTTGGGTCTACTCGACTAGTTACCCTGGGTGACAATGTGTCTATAAAACATATGGCGCAGGGACGCACGTACGCAACCCCTCTGCAAGAGATATCAACGTCACCGGGCCCGTCAAAGACAAAACAACAATGCAAAGACGACGTCCACATGTTTGCCTATTTTGCGAGCTACATGGGGAGCATACTCATTACGTCCCCGAGGACATCCAGCTACATGAGGCGGCGTTGACGAACAGCTACGTACAGACAGAAGACATCACACCGCTGGACATCCCAAGGCCTCACGGAAATGGCGGCAGTTGCGCGGCTGGCAATACGCGAACCATGGATGCCATTTGGATCCGCGCGTGCCGCCACCCCGCTCGACACGACAGTTGCGCAGCGAGCGTCACCAAAAAAGGAAGTCAAATGTTGACCCGCTCATGACGTCATTCCGATGAACCTTCCAAGAGTTCACGGAAGTGCTGACATTTGCGCCCAGGGAGGGGAGGTATAATCCCAGCTGCCTTTTAGGCTAAGGTGGTTTTAGCGATATCCGTCCAAGCCGGGAGCGGCAATGCGCGGCGACGCTCGCGCGGCGCCCGGAGGCGGCGGGAATCCAGAGACCCCGAGGACGGCGCGGAATCGCATGGCCATCGCAGAGGAGGACGCCACGCCAGACTACCCGCCAACGCCAGAGATCGGCCGCTAGACACAGCGCGCGAACGCGCGGGGCAAAACTGCGCGCACCAGGCATGCGGGGGAGCCGCTGCGCCAGCGAGGGACTTCCCCAACCGAAAACGGCAAAACGGGGCGACGCGCGCGCGACGCATGGGGCTGGCCGGCGCCCGCAGGCTGGCGGGACTCGCGAGGCGAGGGCGGGGGGGGCCCCGCCCCCTCGGACCAGCGGCGGGCGCGCGGCGACTGCCACCCAAAGCGTGCGGCGGAATTGTGAGGACGAGGCGCGCGGGGCAGGGCGCGGCGCCAAGTGGAAACTGGCCAAACCGCAAGAAACCAAAAGCGCGGCGACGCCACGCACCGCGCCTGGGGCTCGCAGAAGATCCGCAGGCTCGCGCCAGGGTCTGGCGGATTTCGCGAAGCGACGGCGGGGGGGGGCCCGCCAGGCCACCCATTCGGGCCAGCGGCGGCCGCGCCGAAACACGCCCTGATCGCACCGCCTCCGATATTCCGTTCAGGACAATTACAATGTCCTTGGGCGTCACGCAGTTCCCCATGCTGCGTCGTAGAGCAGTTTTCCGTCATCGGTGTCATCGTCGTCGCGGTCGCCGTCGACCTCGTCGTGGCCGCCGCCGCCACCGTCGTCTCCGTCTTCGTCGTCGTGGTCGTCGTCGCGGAACTCGTGGTCGTGGTTGTCGTCGCCGTCGTCGTCATCGATCGTCGTCGTCGTCGTCGTCGTCGTCGTCGTCGTCGTCGTCGTCGTCGTCCGTCGCCCACCGCCAGTCGTCGTCAGTCGTCGTCCTTGCTTCTCCCACCTCAGTTACTCCCGCCCACATTTCGCTGATTAACACATTTCGCGCGGGCCCCCTGCAGCCTCACGGCCCCCCCCAGGCTCACTGAAAAAACGTGCACCGCATTTAAAAATGTAATGTGCTCTACGTTGGTCCTCGAGATCGCGGCGGCCGCGGTCGCCACGGTCGTCGTGGCTGTCGTCGCCGTCGTCGTCCTCGTCGCCGCCGCCGTCGCGGTCGTCGAAACCGTCGGCGGCGTCGTCGTCGTCGTCGGCGTCGTCGGCGTGGCCCGTCGTCCGCCCGTCGTCCGTCGAATGCAGCTGTCGCCGTTCCTCGCCCCACTCGCCCCGCCCCCATGGTTCGCTTCTTTCGCAGTGCGCAGCAGAATCCGCGCGGGGCCCCAGGAGCTCGGGGGTCCCCAACTGCGTGGAATTCCAATGTGTATGTCCTACTCCTGAGAAACGCTGTCTGTGAACATCTGGGTGTGAGAGCGAGTCGGCGTGGACGACGGGCGCGACAACGACGACGGTGACAGCGACGATTTCAGTGACTGCAGTGGGAATCATCCAGGAGATATGGGGAAACTACAAGTGAAAGAACGAGTGGCCACTGGACCACCGAAGGGGAGAATAATGAAGAACTCCGAGCATGAATTACCTGAATGTGATGTGAGTGAACCTGAATGTGAATGAACCCGGGTACGGGTGAGTGTGAGTGTCAGGGAGTCTAGGTATGCGAAAATCTGAATACGTGTGGGTCTGTGAATACGTCAACCTGTGTACGCGTGCGTCCGGACGATCGAAGTTCGACGATCGAGCATCGAGGCTCGAGGTTCGAAAACCGATGCGTTTGGATGTCTTTGGACGGCGCGGCACCCCCTGGGCCCCCAGGGAGCTGCAAGGTTTTTCCGTGGACCTCTGGGGGCCCCTGGAGACCCCCCCGAGACCTCCGAGGATTTCGGTCGGCCTACTTCCGCCCGAAAGCCTTTCGAGGCCCAAACCTTCCTTGCTCCTCCGCCCCCTCGTGGTGGCTCTCGGGCCAGAAGTCGTTTCTGGCGGCCCTTCGGGACGATTCAGGCACCGCTGGGACGACCCTGGCAAGGCGCATCTGCAGGACAAGACCCCGAGGCGACGTCGACGACGGCCACGGCGGCGGCTGCGGCGGCGGCGGCGGGGGCGGCGGGCCGGCCAAGCCGGCGGGCAGGCTGAGCCAGCGGGCCGTCGTCGTCATCGTCCTCCTGTTCCTCCTCCTCCTCCTCCTCCTCCTCCTCCTCGTCCTCCCCTCCTCCTCCCCATCCTGTTCCTGCTCCTCCTCCTCCTCCTCCTCCTCCTCTTCTTCCTCCTCCTCCCTTTCCTCCTCCTCCTCCTCTTCCCTATTTTCCTCTTCCTTCTTCCTCCTCCTCCGCCTCCTCCTCCTCCTCGTCCTCCTCCTCCTCTTGTCCTGTCCTCCTCGTCGTCGTGCTCCTGCTGTTCCTGCTGTTTCTGCTGTTTCGGCGGGCCGGCCGAAGCGGCGGACCGGCCGAGTCGTCGCGCCGCCGCCGCCGTCGTCGTCGTCGTCGTCGTCGTCGTCGTCGTCGTCGTCGTCGTCGTCGTCGTCGTCGTCGTCGTCGTCGTCGTCGTCGTCGTCGTCGTCGTCGTCGTCTTCGTCCTCGTCGTCCTCGTCCTCTCCCTCCCCCACTTCCTTTGTCTCCTCCCCCTCTTCCTCCTCCTCTTCCTCGTCCTCTTTTTCCTCGTTCCCTCCCCTCCTCTCCTCCAAGTCGTCGTCGTGTTCCTGCTGCCCCTGCTGCTCTTGCTGTTTCTGCCGCTCGCGCTGCCTCCGCCCCTCCTGCTCCTGATGTTCCAGAATCGGCGGTTCCTCCTCGGCGCGGTCACAGTAATGACAAGAAACCCGTCTATTGAATACGGGGAAAAACTCACACCCCATCTGCAAAAAAAAAAAAAAAAAAACTCACCAGTTTTCTGGTCCTCGGGGCCACAACGTCGCCCGTCTCCAGCCCCAGCGATGATTTCGCGTGTTTTTCCGCGCGCGGCGCGCCCCACGCGCCTCCGTCTCTACGGGAGCTCAAGCCAGGGAGGGGGGGGAGGAGGGGGAAGAGGAAACGGAGGAAAAGGAAGAAACCGACTAGGAAGGGGGGGTGGAAAACGAACCGTGGACCGACCCACTCACGCAAACATGGCCACCGCCATCGTGCGAGCGTCCCTCTTCGAGGCCTTTCTGGCCGGGTCGTCCGCGGGGGCGTCCGTGGCCTTGCGCGCCGGGCGGTGGACTTTCTTCCTGATGTCCTGGAGAGTCTTCCGCTGCTCTGCCGACAGGAACCACCCGAAGCGCGCCAGGTTGCCGTGGGCCTCCGGCGCGACCTTCTCCCCCTTCACCAGGCCAGACTCCTTCCGCCTGGCGACCGCCTATGTAAGACTCGGAGACCAGCGCACTCGCCCTCCAAGACCCCAGCCTGTCAAGAGAGACCCGACTGCAGATCTGATCCAAGGGTGTCGGATACGCCCCCGCAGCAGGCCAGGGCACGAGGTCCTTGGCGCATGGCCGCGCCGTGGCACCGCCACCAAAATACCCAGGAGCGTTGCGGAGCAGCTCTTCCAAGGCGGCATCCGCGGTTGCGCTGCTGACTGACAAGTCGGCAGGCCACGTAGAAAATGAAATGCCTCTGCAATACGCGAGAAGGCGAACTTCTGAGGCAGCTTGTCTGTTCCATCGGGAGCCGACACCACGCGAGGATCACAGCGCTGAGGCTGTATATGCACTCATTGGCGCAGCGCCTCCAAGCCGCCCCCCGAACAAAACGCTGGCGAGACCGTCGAGAAACGCAAAACTCTCGCCGACCGTCGACTGCAAGCCCAGGGGTGGAAAGATGTTGCGCTGGCGTCCAGAATGGTCAAACGCCATCGCGAGGCTGAGCAGCTCCAGGCCCGTGAAACCCTGAAGCCTCGCAAAGAGGGGCCTGCCGCAGGAATGAGGCGCGCGTGGGGCAACTGGCGCAACGCTCGCTCCTCGCGGGCTTTCCTGCGCCCCTTGGCCACCGCGGCCTCGGACTTCAACTCATCCGCGATCCAGGTCCTCAGCTGGGGGCAGACACACACGTTGCCTCGCTCTCCTGCGCGTTCAAGAACTGGTGATTCCCCGCCCCATCGTCGGGCACATGGCACGTGTCCTTGTCATTATTGTCGTTGCCTTTCGGGTGAAAGGCGAGCTCCACGACCTTCTCCTCCAAAAGCTGGAGACGCCTCGCTGTCATCTCCAGGCGTGCTAGCTCGCCCACGTTCACCTGGTCGTAGCACGCCGCCAGCTCCAGGATGCGACGGAGGAGGGCGCGCTCCCAAGTGACAGGGTCGTCCTCCAACATCCGCCACTCGGTCATCCACTTGGTGCGCCACGCTGACGGGGAGCCCGCCTGCCGCTGGATGTGGGCGCATACTCACGCCGCCGCGCGTGGCCCCCGCACTGGCCAGTTCCTCCAGCTGGCGCTCGCGTGGAGGTTCGTGCCGTCGCGGTACTCCCCCCAGCGATCACCCTTGACGTCGATCGTGATCGTGGTTGACCCTGAGGTCGGCGCTCGCCGCAGGCGCCCCAGCAGCGGTTCCAGCTGCAGGCGTCAGCGCGCCTCCCGCGGCGGCCACCACGGGGGGCCGGCGCCGCGGGCGCCGCGGCGGGCGCGGCAGGGGCGGCAGGCGCCGCTGCAGCGGGCAGCGGCGGAGTGAGCAGCGCTGGCACGCGGACCGCGGGCGCGGCAACGGGCGCTTGGCGGCGCCACCAGGCCAGGGAAGGCGACCGCGCCTCCACCAACCGCGGGCGCAAGGCCAGCGACCAACCCTTGCGCGCCAACGGCCGCCGCGGGCGCCCCAAAGACGGGGGCGGCAGGCGCTCCAGGCAGCCCAAGGGCCGCAGGCGCAGGGCTGGGCTGCCGCGTTGCCGATGGCAACAGGCATGCTGGCGGGCGATGGCGGCCTCGGCAGCCCGTAAAGCGCCGACGCCTCCGCGATGCCAGCCCACACGTCCGCCGCGGTCGGCAGCGCCCTGAAGCCATACACCCACAGCCCAGGAGGACGCTCGCCCTGGCCAGACAGCATGGTGGTGCCCGCCACGTCCACGTCGGGCACCGCCGTCTCGTCGTACCTGTCCCCATCGGACGTGATGACGTAATGCGACGCGCCTGGACCCCGGAGAACGATCAGCCTCTCGTGCCAGACGACAACTCCGCCCACACGATACCTTACCAAACACCACTGCGTTGCATGGGCCATCTTCAGTGCCCAGCGGACTTGCGATCATGAGTGGCCCTCGCCTGGGCGCGTGCCTTCTCCTCGAAATCGGGTTCCTCGGGCGGCGCAAAGTCGGGTTCCTCGAAGTCGAAGTCGATGCCAGGCGCCGCGCCAACAGCCCTCCGAGCAGGCCGCACACGGATCCCGTCACCAGAGCCGCTGCGGCGTAGGCCAACAACAGGCCGCCGCAGAACGGCTCAAACACCTGGCCGCCCGCGCCCGCGCAGACGCACGCGGGGATGGCCGGGCAGGTGTGCCGGGGCGCGCAAGCCCCGCAGCTCGGCGCAGCCGCCCTCGCCATCGCGGAGGCTCCCAAGGCCTGAGCTCCGTATCACGCCACTTCTCCGAAGGCGTGGGCGAGATCTTGCATGGAGCCGCTCAAGTTAAACTTGAGCCGCAGTGGTTGCGGCACACTCCATGGCAACGATCAAAACACTCAGCTGCATTTATATGATGATGATGATGATGATGATGATGATGATGATGATGATGATGATGATGATGATGATGATAATGAGGATGATGATGGTGGTGATGCTGATGATGATGATGGTGATGATGATAAGGATGATGATGATGATGATGATGCTGATGCTGATGCTGATGATGATGGTGATGGTGATGGTGATGGTGATGGTGATGATGCTGATGTTGATGTTGATGCTGATGATGATGATGATGGTGATGGTGATGATGATGATGATGATGATGATGGTGATGGTGATGGTGATGGTGATCGTGATGGTGATGGCGATGATGGTGATGATGGTGATGATGGTGATGATGATGGTGATGATGGTGATGGTGATGGTGATGACGGTGATGATGATGATGGTGATGATGATGATGATGATGATGATGATGATGATGGTGGTGGTGGTGGTGATGATGATGATGATGATAAAATAAGGAAGGTGAAACGAGGATCTGACACCACAGGATGGTTGGGCAGAAGGGGGGGAGAGACGCTGGAGGACCGAAGCAGACGCAGACTTGGGGTGCCCGTGGGCAACAGACCTCCGCCGGTCCCGGGCCGCTCTCCCCACGCCCGTGATGGGGGCAGGGATGGGGCGTGAGGATGTGCTGAGGTCCTCGGACGACCGTGCTGAGGCAATGGCAGCGGCGTCAGGCCACGGAATCGGGGCCAGGGGCGACCAACGTCAGGGGAGCAAGCAATGACATGAGCTCCAAAACTCGGAGGTCCGCGCGGACTCCTCGGATCGGCGCCGGGGACCCCTGGTGGCGCCTCTGGGCGCCGCCCCTGGCGCGCTCCGTGCGCCAGGGAAGGGGGGTCCAGCGCCGATCCGAGAAATCCGCGCGGACCTCCGAGCTTTTGTATTTATGTCAAGGCTTGCTCTCTCAAAGAGGCTGGAGGGTGCAAAACGGTTTCTAGGTCTGCGCAAGACGGAGTCTGGACCGTCTTGCGTATGCCCGGGCGGAGCCTCGCCTGCTGCGCAGCGCGCGTCGCAGCTTCCTCCTCCAGAGCGTGTTCCGCGCAGGGCCGTCCTGATTGCTCTCTGGCCAGCGGGCCCGACGGGTTGACCGAAGAGGCAAGAGTGCGGGGGCAGCCTCGCCAGGTCGGAGCACTGAGCCCTCACTGAGGGCACGGGCTGCAACCCCACTCCGAGCAGCTCGCAGAACCCCCTCGACGCAGTGTCGGCCCCAGGGCCCCAGGGGGCCCTACCACGACGAGGGCGGGACCAGGGGGCCACACGTCTGCTTGGGAGCCTAGCAGTGACTGACATCTGACGATAGCGAGTCTCAAGCCTCGCAGGAATTCAGACCTGACGACAACGGCAAGGTCGAAGCCGCATCCAGCCATCCAAGACCTCCGACGCCATAGCTTTCTCAAGCAAGTGCACCGATGCACAGAAAGAGCCAAGGCAACAGTCCAAAGCGCGCACGACAGACTGACACCGCCGACTGAGCACCAAACCAGCGACGAGCAGAAGGGGGGCCTTACGCGTGAGGACGCTGCGAACTGCAACAGGGTGTCTTACGCAGGCCGCCAACGCAGCGCACCACGTGCAAAAGAGGGCGCATGGACGCGACCAGCGTAAAAAGTGCCCACCCAAAATTGTTGCTTCGACGGGGCCGCCCCTGTGCCTCATAAATCCACCGACCCCTTGGGGTCACGGCGTGTGAGATGCTTCCCCCTCCCCAAGCCCCTCCCCCGGGAGCCCGGTCCGGTCGGTCTGGAGGGAGGGGGGGAGCAAAGGTGCCGGCCGCACCCTTGGAGCCTCAGGGGGCCCCAAAAAGAACCAAGAGGGCTCCAAGAGGCTCCCACAACGGTCCAATAGGGCTACGATACGAGTCGCCAAAAGACCGCTCCAAGACGCCCAAGATTGCCTCCAGGCGGTCCCAGAGGCCCCCAAGACGCCCCAAGAAGCCACCAAGAGGCGTCCCAAGAGGCCCTCCAGATGCAAAAATCGTCCCATCCCGAGGGGAAACGTATAATCTTAGCACATACGCCTCTTGGGCTTTCACGAGGCCCACAACGGTCCAAGAAGCCTTCAAGATCAACCCAAGATAGTCCAAGAGGCCCCCAAGAGGGCTGCAAGACGGCCCAAGAGGGCCCCAAGACGACCCCAGAAGCTTCCAAAACGACCCAGGAGGGCCCCAGGATGGCCCCAAGAGGAGGCCCAGAGGGGGAACCCGAATGAACAGTTCGAGCACTCGGCCCCGAAGGAGGCGCCAGTAGGCCCCCAAGAGGCTCCCACGAGGCCCCCGAGAGGCCCCAAAGAGGCTCCGAGGCCTCAAAGCGGCTCCCAAGAGGCCTCAACAATGCTGCCAGGAGAGCCCAGAGAAGCCCAAATGCAGAGCCGCGAACCGCCAACCGCCCCCGACGAAATCCCAAGAAGCTGAAACCCCAAGATTCCCCAGAAATCGTTCCGCAAACTCCGTTTTTCACTCTTACTGCCGCCCCAAGGGGTCGACGGTGCGGCGTCAGCCAATGAATCAATGGTGCATTCGCGGCCGCCGTAGGAGTGCAATAATCGGCACAATGACCGCCCACAACGCAATCCCACGTCCACACCCGCTTTAAGCGTTGAAATCTGGGGATGCAGGGGTTCTTGACGCATGGGCAACGGTCTCTCCGATTGGTGCATCTTTCGCTAATTGCGGTTACCCTGCGTTTGCGTGGTGGGTCCCCCCCACAGGAGTCAATGTCAACCTGACCGCGCCTGTGGGTTGGGGATCTGGTTTTCGCGGCAGGTGGCGTGGGCCGACTGGGGTCGACGTCGCGTGGCAATGTCTGCCCGCAACGGGGGTCGATGTGGGGCTGTCAGCGGGGCTGGCGCCCTCCCCACGCTATCTTGGCGGCGTACGAGGGGGGAAAGTGAGGAGAAGGAGGAGGAATAGGCCTTCTCAGAAGGCGGCTGGGCTTCCTGGAAGCCATCTGGCCTTCTGAGAAATGTTTTGTGTCTTCTGGGAGGGCTCGGAAAACTTCTCAGAAGGCTGGAAGTCTTCCGGGCCTTCTGAAAAGGCCCGCCCCCCCCTCTCGCCTCCCCCCCCCCCGGGCTGGCCGCCGGCTGCCACCGGACGCAGAATACGCGGGCAGCCTGCGCGCGAACGCCCGCGAGGCCGAAGGCCCGACCCCCGCCCCCTTCCGCCCCTCGAGGGGGGCCGCTGCGCTGCCCCAGCGGCAGCGGGCACGTGCTGCGGGGGGGGGGGGGGCCTGCTCGCCTGCCCCCGAGGCCGCCGCGCCTCTCCCCGCCCTCGCCCCGCCCTGCTCCCCGACGACGTCCGAGCAGCCCCCGGCACGGGCCCGCCTGTGCACGAGTGGCCGAGTTGTAGCGCAGGGAGCACCCGCAGCGCGAGCAGGATACAAACCTGCGCGCGCCGCCGTCGTCGTCGCGAGGGCCACCGGGCCGGCTGCTGCCACCCGCCAACGAGCCACCGCGTCGGCACTCTGACAGTAGGAACGGCTGCAGCTGCAAAACAGCAGCAGCGGCGCCAGCAACGGCAGCCGAGGCAAGACGACGCCCAGACGGCAACGACAGCAGCTGCAGTTAGTGAAGCAAAGTCAGACGACGACGTCGGCTCGTCAGCTGGCTCTACCACTTGTGAACCCCAGGTCACTGCACACTGGGTTACCATAAATGAGTTACCATGGTTGAATATGAAAGAGACTGCACGAGCGACTGAACGTACCGACGGGGACTGTATAGCACCGCGGGTGACTGTCGGGTGGCTGCACCGAAATTGAACGACTCTACAATCGAAGCTGAGGACACGGTGGCGGCTTCACCACGGGGGCTATAGCCTACAACCACCCTGCAGCCTGTAGGGTGAGGGAGTAAACGCTGGAAGTGTGTCTCCGTTTCTGCCGCAGTCTCTGAGCCAGTATGTGGTCAGCGCTGAAGGGCAGAAACATGGAAATGTGGCAAGAGATCCAACAAACATCGAAACGCGGCAAACGAGCCAGGGACATGCGGCACTTCACGCGGAGCAGAGAGAGCGAGCAGGCTGGCTCCCGCCCGGGATGCGCGGCCCGAACGTGGCCTCAACACGTCGAATACGACGAAAAACCTCTGAAAATCGAAAGTCGCCGCCATGCGAACTCCGCCACTGGGCCGCCATGCTAAATCCGATACGGAGACCTTAGGTGGAGCTCCCTGTGGGGAAACGAACACTTTACTGGGTGGTGGAAGACGCACGCGGGCGGCCCCACTGGGGGGTTCGATGGAGCCCCCTCTATGGGGCCACGAAACGTTGCACTGGGTGGTGGATGACGAATGCGGGCGGTTCCACTGGGGCCTTCGGTGGAGCCCCCTAAGGGGCCACGAAATGCAGCGTTGGGTGGTGGATGACGCACGCGGGTGGCCCCACGGGGGCCATCGGTTGAGCTCCCTATGGGGCAACGAAATGCTGTGCTGGGTGGTGGGTGACGCACGCGGGCGGTCCCACTTGGGCCTTCGGTGGAGCTCCCTATGGGGCCACGAACCGTTGTACTGGGTGGTGGATGACGCACGCGGGCGATCCCACTAGGGCCTCTTGTTTAAGTGTAGGCTGACCGTGGGCGGCCCTCGGGCCCGCAAACCCCCGCCGACGCGCCAGCCACCAGGAGGCCCTGGCCGTCCACGACCGCGAACGCGAGGCCGAGGGTGCCGAGGGAGGGCGCCGCGACCGCCCGCGCCTAGGGCGGGGCCCGCCGCCGCCCGCGAGGCCCGCGAGGCCGCCGAGCGCGAGCGCGGCGGCCGCCAGGCCGAGCCCCGCCGCCGAAGGGTAGGGCGGAGCGGGGCCTCGACCCTCCGAAGGGGCGGCACCCCCGCAAGCGCGAGGACCTAGCGGGGGAGCACCAGGTCCAGCATGCGCTGGACCTCCGCGCGCATCGCCTCCGAGGGCGGAGGCCGCGCGCGGAGCAGCGCGTCGTCGGCGGCCGCCCGCACGCCCTGGCACGCTTCGAAGGAGGAGTCCAGAGCCGCCAGCTCGCAGACGGGCAGCGCGGCCCGCACCGCCTCCAGGGCGCCCGCCGCCGCCCCCAGCGCGACCAGAGGGAGCCCCGGGGAAGCCGCCGCCTCCTCGGCAGGCGGGCCGAGGCCCGCGCCTGCCGCCGCCGCCGCCGCCTCACCCGGAGCAGCCGCCTCCGGTAGCGCCCGCCGACGACGCGGCCTGCGCCTCCTCGGCGCAGCCTCGTCCGCCCAGGCGTCGTCAAACTCGACGTCGTCGCCGCCGTCGTTGTCCGTGTTGGGGCCGCCAGCGGTAGCGGGGACCGCAGCGGGCGGCGGGCCATCCGCCACCACTGCATCCGCCATCGCCGCAGCTTCCCCTCGCTCCAGAGCGCGCTGCCCCGCGCGCCTCTGACGGCGCCTGCGCCGCCGCTCGCGCAGCGCCTCCGAGGAGGCGCGAGGAGCGGCGTCGGCAGGCACATCAGGGCGTACTCCGCCGCCCGCGGCGGCAGGCTCCCGCGGAATCGGCCGCGCCGCGAAGGCGGCGGCCGACGCGGCGGAGCGCGCCACGGCAGCGACAGCGCGGCGCGGCGCGCCGACGTCCACGGCTCCGCGGACCGCCGCGGCCACCAAGGCCGCCAGGTCCACAGGCGCCGCGAGAGCCCCTCTAGGCAGCGCCATCCCGCGGTCCCGCAAGGAGAGGAGGGAGGCGCGGCCGTGCGACCGCTTGAGCCAAAATGATCCCACTAGGGCCTTCGGTGGAGCTCCGTATGGGGCCACGAAACGCAGTGTTGGGTGGTGGGTGACGCATGCGGGCGGTCCCACATGGGTTTCCGGTGGAACTCCCTATGGGGTCACGAAACTACTGAGTGGTGGATGACGCACGCGGGCGGGAGCCCTTGATGCGGCCACGACAGGCTGCACTGGGTGCTGGATGACGCATGCGGGCGGTCCCACTGGAGCATTCGGTGGAGCTCCCTAACGAGCCACGAAATGCTGTGCTGGGTGGTGGATGACGCATGCGGGCGGTCCCACTGGGGCCTTCGGTGGAGCTCCTTATGGGGCCACGAAGTGCTGTGCTGGGTGGTAGATGACGCATGCGGGCGGTCCCACTGGAGCCTTCGGTGGAGCTCTCTATGGGGCAACGAATGCTGTGCTGGGTGGTGGATGACGCATGCCACTGGGGCCTTCGGTGGAGCTCCCTATGGAGCTACGACACGCTGCACTGGGTAGGTGAAACGCAGGGAGGAGGGAGGAGGAGGGAGGAGGAAGGAAGGAAGCAAGGAAGGAAAGAGGGAACGCGGGGACCGTGTCTTCAAAACGAAGACCCAACACCACAAGATGGTTGGGAAACAATATTTTTTAAAAAAGAAACCACACGGGAGACTGTACGGATGACCAGACGTGAGACCACACGGGAGACCAGACGGGGGACCACACGGAGGACCATACGGGAAACCATACGGGAGACCAGTATCCACGGGCCACCGATCCCAGATCCAGAGGAACTCACGCGTGACTTAGAAATTGGGACTCCCTACATACAATCAGCTCAGGGAAAATTGTTGACGCTTCGCGTATCCCCACCAGCCCATCCAGAAACGATGCTCAGGGGAGTTGAGGTGATCAGGGAAGTCGGGGAGCATGCAGAATAACAAAGGGCGGGGGAAGCTGTCACAGACCCCGAGAGGGGGAGGATGGAAGAGGAGTCGTCGTCGTCGTCGTCGTCGTCGGAGGAGGAGGAGGAGGGGGAAGAGGAGGAGGAGGAGGAGGAGGAGGAGGACGGAGAAGGAGGAAGAATCGGAGGAGGAGGAGGAGGAGGGGAAGGAGCTTCTTGGGGGTCTTTTGAGGGCCTCTTGGAGGGCTTTTTGGGCGCCTTGGGGCATCTTGGGCGCCTCTTGGGACCCTCTTGAGGCGCTCTGGGGAGCCTTCGGGGCGCTTTTGGGGCCATCTTGGAGGGAGTCGATCAAACAAGAGGGGGGGTTTAATTAGCGTCCCCCCTCGGAAGCCCCTAAAATCGCCTCTTGGACCCCTCTTGGAACGCTCTTGGAGTGCTCTTGGGCGCTCTTGGGGCCGTCTTGGGGCTCTTTTGGGGCTCTCTTGGGGCCCTCTTGGGCCATCTTGGAGCCATCTCCAGGCCTCGGATGGCCATCGGAAGCGAAAAGGCGAGAAAGCAAAAATCATTGATTTTCCTTAGGTTTTGGGACGATTTTGGCCTCTTCGGGGCCTCCTTGGGGAGCTGTTTGGCCACTTGGAGTTATCTTGGGGCCGTCTTTGGGCTTCTTGGAACCATCTTAGGAGCCATCGTGAGCGATCTTGCGCTATCTTGAGCCATCTTGGAGCTCATCTTGGGTTCTCTGAGGCGCTCTTGGAGCCGTCTTGGGCCATCTTGGACGCTCTAACTACCCGCGGCCCCCCCCGTCCAGGTCCAGGGGAGGGGGTAGGGGGAGGGGTAAACCCCTCCCCAAGGGGGAAGAGGGAGGGGTGGAAGAGGATCTGCTCTAGACCACCTACGCCCAGAGGGCTGGTGGGATTATCCTGGCGAAGGACCCAACCATATGCAGTTGTGAGTATCGCAATTGTGAGTATCTTCTTCGGTGGCGCTCCCTATTGGGCCACGAACCGCATGAGGGGCGTGCCGAAATGTGGCGGGGTACACAACGCAAAGGAATACGATAGATCTGATTACGAGAGAAAGAACGCGGGTGAGTCAGAGCGCGAGGGAAGCTGGGTATTAATGGGTCTGCGCGCGAGTGAATATATTTGCATGAATGCGATCCTGGAAACGCCTAGTGTAAGTGTATATGAATGTGAATGGTTCGAGCATGCCTGTCCGAACACACGTGACACTGGGCGTGGCCGCCGCAGGCAGCTTCCGCGGGAACCCCGACGGCAGCGCCCGCACGTCGCGACGCCCATGTCGGCACGCCTCTTGCGAGGATCGCGCCCGCTTTCGGCTCTTCTTTTCCTTCCTCTTTGCCCGCGCACTCCAAAATCCAAGGCTGCGGGCGCAGCGCAGCGCGGAGTCCCCGCGACGCGCGCTGGTCGCCCCGGGCGGGGTCCCAGCGACGCGCGCGGGTCGTCCGCTGCGCGAAGCAGAGAGAGCTGACTAGCTAACTGGCTGGCTGATAGCGGGCAAGTCTCTGACCGCTGGGCAGAGCGACGACGGGCGAACGAGGCGCCGGGCCCCCCGCAGCACGGAGTTCCCGCGACGCGCGCCGGTCGCCCCGAGAGGGTCCCAGCGACGCGCGCGGGTCGTCCGCGGCGCGAGGCCAAACAATTAGTCGGGCAGTCGAGAGAAGGCGCGGCTCGGGGGAGACGCTCCTCAGGTCAGGCCTCGCGGATGAACTCGGTGAAGCCGAGCTCCCTGGCGAGGGCCGTCGCTTCCCTCCTGCACCGCTTCGTGAGCGCCGCAAACTGCTCCAGCTGCTTCCGCAAGCCCTGCGGCGGCCCTGCCAGGAAGAACTCGATGCGCGGCGCCCGCGTGAGCAGGAGGTCCTCGTGGCGCGTGGCGCGCGAGAGCAGCACGTAGAGCTCCAGCCACCAGTCGTCGTCCTCCTTCTTGCCGTTCCCTACCTCGTGGCGGCCGCAATCCAGGATCACGCCTGGGCGACGTCGACCGAGGGAGCAGCGCGCCGGGCAGCCGACGGCCCAGGGCGAGAGTCCACAGGACCGAGAGATGGTCTGGCCGCGGACTGCTCGCGCCCCGGAGGTCTGGCCGCCCCCGGAGCGCCGTTCCCCCGCCCCGTCGCCTTCGCGCATGGTGCGCCCCTGGCACGCCACCGTGGTGATGACCCTGCCGTGCGAGAAATGCGGGGGGTGTGCCATTGGGTGGGGGTGACGCATGCGGGCGGCGGCACTGATGACCCTATGGAGCCACGAAACGTGTGAGGGGTGTGCGAAAGACGCATGCGGCCGCGGGCACTGGGGCCTTCGGTGGAGCTCCCTATGGAGCCACGAAACGTGTGAGGGGTGTGCCGAAATGGGGGTGGGGACGCATGCGGCCGCGGGCACTGGGGCCTTCGGTGGAGCTCCCTATGGAGCCACGAAACGTGTGAGGGGTGTGCCGAAATGGGTGTGGGTGACGCATGCGGCCGCGGGCACTGGGGCCTTCGGTGGAGCTCCCTATGGAGCCACGAAACGTGTGAGGGGTGTGCCGAAATGGGTGTGGGTGACGCATGCGGCCGCGGGCACTGGGGCCTTCGGTGGAGCTCCCTATGGAGCCACGAAACGTGTGAGGGGTGTGCCGAAATGGGTGTGGGTGACGCATGCGGCCGCGGGCACTGGGGCCTTCGGTGGAGCTCCCTATGGAGCCACGAAACGTGTGAGGGGTGTGCCGAAATGGGTGTGGGGGACGCATGCGGCCGCGGGCACTGGGGCCTTCGGTGGAGCTCCCTATGGAGCCACGAAACGTGTGAGGGGTGTGCCGAAATGGGTGTGGGTGACGCATGCGGCCGCGGGCACTGGGGCCTTCGGTGGAGCTCCCTATGGAGCCACGAAACGTGTGAGGGGTGTGCCGAAATGGGTGTGGGTGACGCATGCGGGCGGGCACTGGGGCCTTCGGTGGAGCTCCCTATGGAGCCACGAACGTGTGAGGGGTGTGCCGAAATGGGTGTGGGTGACGCATGCGGCCGCGGGCACTGGGGCCTTCGGTGGAGCTCCCTATGGAGCCACGAAACGTGTGAGGGGTGTGCCGAAATGGGTGTGGGGGACGCATGCGGCCGCGGGCACTGGGGCCTTCGGTGGAGCTCCCTATGGAGCCACGAAACGTGTGAGGGGTGTGCCGAAATGGGTGTGGGTGACGCATGCGGCCGCGGCCACTGGGGCCTTCGGTGGAGCTCCCTATGGAGCCACGAAACGTGTGAGGGGTGTGCCGAATTGGGTGTTGATGATGATGATGATGATGATGATGATGATGATGATGATGATGATGATGATGATGATGATGATGATGATGATGATGATGATGATGATGATGATGGGAGGGGGGAGGAGGCAGCGGGAGGAAGGAGAACGCGGGGCACCGTCTCTTCAAAACGAGGACCCAACACCACAGGATGGTTGGGAAAAACAAACAGGAGAGGAGAAAACAGTACTAGGAGGGGTCCACGACAGCGACGCTTAGGATCAGGGCGCAGGTGAGAAAGACGACGGAGGACGAAGACGGCGTCGAGGGAAAGCAATAACTAGGACGAGGAACAGAACGAATGGGAAGGAGGGGAAGACGAGGATGAGTAAGATGAGGACGTGCGTGATGAGGAGTTTCGCGCACCAAGGGCACGCGCCCAACCATTGCTTTTTTTTCTGAGCGATGTCGAGACCTGTGCTCTGCGAGGGATTGGAGTTCTTATGTCAAGGATGTGCGGCTGACCAGGCTTTCTGAAGGGCTTTCCAGTGGCCCCGCGGATTGTCGAGTAGGAACGCTCCTCCTCCTCCTCCTCCTCCTCCTCCTCCTCCTCCTCCTCCTCCTCCTCCTCCTCCTCTTGGTCCTCGTCCTCCTCCTCCTCCTCATCGTCCTCCTCCTCCTCCTCCTCGTCATCCTCCTCCTCCTCCTCATCATCATCATCGAACACATCCGAAGGCGCTTTCCGATGGTCCGAAAGCGCATATTCGCGCCAACGCGTATCCACAGAACAGCCTTCGACATGTGCAGCGCGGGGAACTGAGGGACGCCAAATGGTCAGACCCTGTCGGCAGAGGTTAACTAAGCAAACCCACATTGAACTTTGCAGCGCTCCGCTGTTCACGACCAACCTGTCTCGCCATGGCCCTCCGACGCGGCCACCCACCTCTGTAAGGATCTACAGAGAACCCAAGGAGCATCCAAGAAGGCCCCAGTGAAGGGGCCCTGGGGGGGGCGCAAGACTGCCTCGACGCGGAGATCCCCCATGCGTATATCGTTCATTTCGTTTTCCTTTCACGACGGGGTATGAATCATAATGAGTATGAACGACCGAGTGCGAGTGAATCGAAATATCCGTGAGTCACACATATGATCGGATCCGTACGAGCGGGTCTGAATGCAAATCCGTCCGACTGCGAGCGGGTTTGAACACAAGTGAATGTGAACATGAGCGGGAGTGCGTACGAGCGAGTACAAATGTGAACACCAGCGGTTGAGCACGATTAACTGAACTTAAAATCTGCATTTACTTATGAGGTTGTATGACGGCGGAACAGATCCGACGCGCACGTCTGAATACGAAGGACTCCGTACGGCTGTGTCTGAATATGAATACTTAGAAATAAATGGAATCCTACAGGGCCGATGTCACTGAGCGCCCGGGTTTCTGGGTTTCCCGTTCCAGGTTCTGGGCCGATGTTGGTGGGCGGCTGGCGGCCAGGTCTCCTGATTCCCCGTCCTGGGGTTGGGATCCGAGTTCCCGAACCATGGGTTGCGGCTACATACCGGGGCCCGTGCTACCAGGGTGATGAGCGAATAAAGCCCTTTCTACGAAAAAAGATAACAGCGCCAAATGGAGAGAATGTAGTGGACATTGGATAGCATAAGGGGCAGTGAGAGAAAATATAAGGGACATTGGATAATTGAAGGGGCGCTGCGAACTGAGAGGGCCCAATCCCACTGTGTTTCGCCGCGCCGGCGAAAAGCATTGGCCATGAGAATAAGGATAAGACAAATGAAAAATGATAATACGAATCATCATAATCATAAAAAAACTGGTAAGAATAAACATGCGAATATTAAATCAGTAGCCTGACAAAAGACCCAACCATATGAAGCTGCGAGTACCGCATTGTGGGTACCGCTTTCGGTGGACCCTGTGGGGCCACGAACCGCGTAAGGGGTGTGCCAAAATGAGTGGCGGTCCCCGCATGCGACCTGTGCCGCTGGGGCCTTCGGTGGAGCTCCCTATGGGGCCACGAACCGTGTGAGGGGTGTGCCGTAATGGGTGGCGGTCCCCGCATGCGGCCTGTGCCACTGGGACCTTCGGTGGACCTCCCTGTGGGGCCACGAACCGTTTGAGGGTGTGCCGTAATGGGTGGCGGTGACGCGTGCAACCGCACCCGCGGCGAAGCATGCAACCGCACCCACTGGAGCCTTCGGTGGAGCTACCTATGGGGCCACGAACCGTTTGAGGGGTGTGCCGTAATGGGCGGCGGTGACGCGTGCAACCGCACCCGCGGTGAAGCATGCAACCGCACCCACCGGAGCCTTCGGTGGAGCTCCCTATGGGGCCACGAACCGTGTGAGGGGTGTGCCGTAATGGGTGGCGGTGACGCATGCATCCGCACCCACTGGGGCCTTCGGTGGAGCTCCCTATGTCAGTGGTGCCATTCTACTGGCGAAGCTTTTGACGACAAAACGCAATTCAAAAAATTAAACGTTTAATCGCAAAATGCTCGGTATAGCGTTGGACCAATCGCGGCTGACTGAACGCGAAAACGCGAGCGCCCGCGCGATGCTCCTCGCTGCAGACTGAAGCCCCGATGGGCACCACGATCACAGCGTTTGGCGCGAAAGGGCGCGGACCGAATTGCCTGCCAATCGCGACGTTGCGATGAGGAACCGCTGCGCCAAAGACAGCGGCAGCGGTGCTACATCGAACAAACACCTTGGAGCAAGTATCATTGCGACAGCGACATCAAAGGCGCCATTACGTTCAATGACACATTGGAGGTCGCGCAACCACGCGCGAACCCCACGCGGCACTACAGCGCGCAACCGCATGATGAACGCAAACTGCACAAGCCAACGCGATGCGCGTGCCTGCGCGCGCTAACCCACAACCAGTGGCTCGCACGTGCGCGCGCGCACGTTCGAGGGCGATGGCATCGCCAGAAGTCGCGGCGCGATGGCAACTGGCTGTGCAAATTTGCAGGTCGCCAGGCGCACTCCTGAAAGTTCTTGGGGTCGCAAAACCATAATGAAAACCGCGCCATGCATCCAAAGCGACGCGATCACGCGAGTAGGGCCGCCCGCGCACGGCAAGGCGCGAACGCAAGCCCAAGCTGGAAAAAAAAACAGCGAGGTATGGAATCGGATTGCAACGGGCGCTGGTTTTCAGGGCGCGCTAAAAACGCATCGCGCGTCGAAGCGCGACCGCCAACAGTCAGCTATGAGGCTGGGCACCCTCGCTGGGAACGGTCAGAACTCAAGAGCAGCGGCCAGGAATTGATGGGCGCCTCGAACGGCGGCGACAACAAAAAAACACATCCTCTCGTCGCCGCGCGGCGCAAGAAGCGGCGCAGTCGACCGCGCACGTCCGCACCGCGCAGATTAGCGCAAGACGCGACGCACAACGAAGGGATTGAAAGCCCGCTCGCGCGCGCACGCGCGCACGCCGCAAAGGCGGGAGCGCGCCTCCGCGGGCCTGCGCGCGTTCCGAAGGGCCGACAGCGCGCGCCAGCGCAGCCTGCGCACTGGGCGTCGACCCACCGCGGAGACGACGTCGACGCAGAGGGTTCTGTGGAGCCAGAATACTTGAGCCAGAATGGTCGGATCCAAAATTGCAACAGAGGGGGGGGGGCGCCGGGGGCGGCGGGGGGGGGCAGGAGCGGAGGGTTTGGCGGGGCGGGGGCCGGAGGCGCAGCGGGGGGACGCAGAGTAGAGCGCGGCGAGGGGGGGAAGGGGGTCGGAGGGGAAGGAAAGGAAGGCCGCCACCATGCTTTCGCACGCAGAGGCGCGTGAAAACGCTTCGCGCTTCCATTTGGGATTATTTCCAACGTTCTCTAAGGCGTATGACGTACTTGCAGTTCGACAGGATATGCAATCGCACCCCGTTTGGCGCGCGCAATGCGTCTGGTTAGTGTCATCGAGGCCACGGCCGTGCATAAGTGACACAACAGCCGCCCCGTCTCAACAACCATCTGTTTGATCGTTTCAACCCCCGCGCGTCCCAATCCAATGTTGGCCCTACGCTGCCCGACAAGTTCCAAAGCGGGCCCCGAGACGGCCGCGCGTGGCCCCGAGGCGGCGCAGGAAGACATCGCGACGGCCCCTTGGGGATCCCAGAAGGCGCGCCGCGACCAGCTAATCCTTTGATTCCGCACCGACAAGACCCACGAAGGACGCACGAGGCGGCGCAAACGCGCGCAAGGATATCCGAGGGCCCCCACCACAGCACCGAAAGACAAATACTATTGATCTATCCTTGATTATATTCAAGATGTGGAGGTCCGCACCTTTCGGGCTCCCTGGCGCCCCAGGGCGGCCTTCGAGGTCCCCAAAGACCACTCCGAGACGGCCAACGACCCCTCAGAAGACCGCCCGATTGTCGGAGAGGGCCCCGAGACGGCCCATAAATCATCATAGATTATCAAACGACGCCCACAGGCGGTCTCGAAAGGAGTCCGCGAATAGGAAAAGCACTCAACCCGCGGCCGCCCAGGCGGCCCAAGAGCTCCGCAAGGGCGGCCCCCGCGCTGGTCCACAGAAGCCGACGCCATGCATGTTTCATCGTTTGTGTCCACGTTTGAAAAATCTGTCGCGTTTGTTTTCCGCATTTTCGGATGGGCCGCGAGATTGCTCCGAGCGCCCCAAAAAACTTCCAACGAGGTCCTCAACGGGGCCCATATGACGGCCCCGAACGGCCTCAAAATGACGGAAAACGAACGCAGGGCCACGCGAGGACGCGCCACGATGCCCCCCTTTATCAAGCACAACACCTGGGACAATGCGGGGCCAGTGTGCAAATTAGCATGTGCACCAATGCACCCAATGACATTTCATCAAACCTCAACTGTCCGAAACCATGCGTCTACCACATGTCAGCAACAAAAAAAACTGATGTGAAAACGCAACTGTCCAAAACGAGTTTCCTGGACAATTGAATCGCGGTTCTAATGTCTCGAATGTCATGCCGCAGGTTGCCTTCATCATCCGCCACAACACTGCGGAACCTCAACTGTTCCTAACAATTGTTTCCCTGGGCTCCTTACCACCAGGCTAACCCAACAACGCGGATAAGAAACGCCCAGCCACCAAACCAAAAAAAAAAAAACAATGTAGCCTGGCGAAAAACCCAACCATATACAACTGGGGGCTCCATGTGGGGCCGCGGACCGTGTGAGGGGTGCGTCCATGTGACGTGGCGCCGCCATGTGGACGATGCTACTGGGGCCTTCGGTGGACCCCCCTGTGGGTCCACGAACCGCGCGCTGGGTTTGTAGCCGCGCGATTTGTGAAGACCGCATGCGGGGCGGCGCACGATTTGTGAAGACCGTCTGCGGTGTTCTTGGCCAGAGGATTTGTTAACACCGTCTGCGGGGTTTTTGGCGGCACGATTTGTTAACACCCTGGGCGCGAAACGATGTGCGAACACCTGGGCGCCGCACGATGTGGTAACAACCTGGGCGCCGCGCAGTCCCACCAGCCCTCTGGGCGTAGGTGGTTTGGGGAGTTTCCTCTTCCAACCCCCTTTCTTCCCCTTGGGGGAGGGGTTTACCCCTCCCCCTACCCCCTCCACTGGACCTGGACGGGAGGTTTCGCTGGTAGTTGGAGCGTCCAAGATGGCCCAAGATGGCTCCAAGAGCGCCTCGGGGAGCCCAATATGAGCTCCAAGATTGCTCAAGAAGCTAGCCTCAGATGCCTCAAGACGGCTCCGAAGATGCTCCAGTAGGCCCGAAAACCGCCCCAGGACGGCTCCGAGAGGCCAGCTAGGTCCCCCAGGAGGCCTCCAAGAGGCCCAAATCCTTCAAAAACCGAAGGAACATCAATGCGTGTTGCTTTCTCACCCTTTCGCTTCCGATGGCCTTCCGAGGCCTCAAGATGGCTCCAAGAGGGCCCAAGATAGCCCCAAGAGGGGCCCAAGATGGCCTCAAGACGGCCCCAAGAGCGCCCAAGAGCGCTCCAAGAGCGCCTCGAGATGAGCCCAAGAGGCGATTTTAGAGGATCTAGAGGGGCAGGCCTAATTAACCCCACTCTCTTCTTTGATCGATCGCCTCCAAGATGGCCCTAAGAAGCGCCAAGGAGGCCCCAAAAGGCGCCAAGATGGCCCCAAGATGGCCCCAAGATGGCCCCAACATGGCCCCAAGAGGTCCCCGAGAGGCTCCCCAGGGCACCCAAGACGCCCCAAGAGGCCTCCGGGACCGCCGAGACGCTCCCAAGACGCCCTAAGAGGCCTTCAGGACGCCCCCAAGAGACCCCCGAAGAGACTCCGAGAGGCATCCAAGAGGCCTCTGGCCATTCTGCTCGCCCTTCTCCTCGTCCTCCTTTTCATTCTCGTCCTGCTCCTGCTCCTCCTCCTCCTCCTCCTCATCCGCCTATTGCTCTTCCTCCCTCTACCCTCCTCCCGCTCCCCCTTTTCCTCCTTGAGTTCCTCCTCCTCATCGTCCTCCGATTCATCCTCCATCCTCGCCGTCTTGGGTAAGACGGGTTCCCCAGCCTTTTGTTATTCTGTATGCCCCCCACTTCCCTGATCACCCCCATTCGCCTGGGCATCGTTACTGCATGGGCTGTTGGGGATACGCGAAGCGTCAAGAATTTGTTGGTCTGGAACAGACTGGGCGCTACACGATTTGTTAACACCGTCAGCGGAGCTGTTGGCCGCACGATTTGTTAACATTGTTTCCGGCGGAGGCGGGGTGGCAATGCCACCTCCGCGCGTCGCAACGCCACTTCCGCGTGTGAAGTGCACGCCCAACTGGAGCGGCGCCGCCATGTGGACCTTGCCACTGGAGTCTTCGGTGGAACTCCCTGCGGGGCCACGAACCGTGATGATGCGTGCGCTTAAACAAGGCGGCGCCGCCATGTGGGCCCTGCCGCTGGGCCTCCCCTCGAACTCCACGTGATGCCACGGACCGTGTCAAGTCTGCGCCCACATGGCGCGGCGCCGCCATGTGGACCGTGCCGCCGAAATCTGCGGTGGAGCTCCCTATGGGAACGACGCCCCCCCAGAAGGGCTGGACCAAGCAAGAAGAAGGCGGGGGTGCCCGCCACCGTGTCCCCTCGCCCTCTTCCTCCTCCTCATATTATTCCTCCTCCTCCTCCTGCAAATTTCCCCCCCCCTCCTCTCCCTCCCCCACCGCGCCGCCATGTCCCCCCACCCCCCCCTCGCCGCATAATGCTACTGCGAACCCGCTAGGACCGCGAATCGCCCGGCGAACGCGGCACGACCTCGTGGACGCACCAGACCGCCCCGACAAACAGCCCAACCAAACTGACCGACAAAATGCCCACCCGGACCGTCGAACAAAATTTCCGGGGGGTGCATCCTAACTGTGAATTTACACTGAATCCGCTCGGCAGCGACAGCCAGGAACGAATTTGTCGCGACACTTTCCTGGGTCGGTCCGATTTTTTTGTCGCGCCGCCTCTTTTTTTTTGTCGGCCCATTTTGTCGGGCCGATTTTTTTTGTCGTGTGTGTTTTTTGTCGGGGAGGTTTGGTTTTTTGTCGGCCGATTCTGTCGGGGCAATCGTTTTCTTTTGTCGGCTGGGCGCCGCCCGCAATGCATAGATGCAGGGAGGCAGACGGGTCATGTGGCAGCAAGGGCGCACGCGCAAAACGCAGAAGGATAACAAAAAGGAACGCGAACCAGG